TTTTCCGTGTCAATCAGTTCTTTTCTAGTACAGTGATTCTTGCCCATAGCATCTTTCACTATTGCGACACGAAGCTTAATGTGTTGTGTTAAATTTGTGTGGTTTTGTTTTGTGGGTTTTTTTTTATTCTCCAATTCCAGCTCTCTACACATTCCTTTATAATACTCTTCTTTGTCCTCCTGAACTGCCCTTTGAAATCTTCTGTTCAGCTCTTTTACTATGGCAAGTTTTTCCTTTTGTTTTGGCTTCTTGAAGCTCCAGTGTAATTTTTAGAGTCTCTTCTGATACCCATTTCTATTTTTGCTTTCTGGTTTGTTTTTTTTTTTTGTTTTTTGTTTTTGCTTTCTGTTTTAATAATCACTTTTTGCTTCCTTCGTGCACTATATCCTCCCACAGCTCATCTGGTCTTCGATCATTGATATTTAATACCTTGGTTCCGGTGGACTGCTTTTCTTTCTTGGGGGGACTCAATTTGAGCTTGCATACGAGTAATTGATGGTCTGACCCACAGTCATCCCCTGGCCTAGTTTTGACTGCCACTACTGAGTTTGTCCAGTTTCTTCCACAAATGTAGTCAATGTGATTTGACTGTTTAGAACATAGCCGACTTTGGCTAATGTTCAGAAGAATGGGAATCCCAGAATATTTGTGATCATATGAAATTTTTATCTAGACCAAGAACCTGTTGTCTGAATGGAATGGGGGGACACTGCATCGTTTCAATCTGAAAGGGTGTGTGTCATGGAAGTATTCTTTATCCATACCTATTCAGTCTGTATGCTGAGCAAATAATTCATTAAGACAGACTGAAGAACAATGTGGCATCAGGATCACAGGAAGACTCATCAACAGCTTGTGTTAAGTAGATGACATGACTTTACTTGCTGAAAGTAAGTAGGACCTGAAATGCTTGCTGTAGAAGATCAGGGATTACAGCCTTCAGTATATATTGCATCTCAACATAAGAAGAATAACTCCTTACCACAAGGCAACATCAAGATAAATGGAAAGGATCGAAATTGTCAGTGGTTTCATTTTACTTAGGTCTACAAAACACTTTTGGTACCAGCAATCAGGAGATAAGGAACCTTATTCCTTTGGGCAAGTCTGCTCTTAGGGACATCTTCAGAATACTGAAGAAGGCCATGGTCTTTTCAGTCACTGGCTGTGTGTTTGATAGCTGCACAATGAATAAGGAAGACAGAATAATTTATGCTTTGAACTGTGATGTTGCAGAAGAGTATTAAATATCCCATGGATTGCCAGAAGACCAAACAGATAAGTCTTAGGAAATGTGAAGCCAGAGCGATCCTTGAGAGTCAAGGGTGGTAGAACTTCGTGTCTCATGCTCACATGTTTGAAGGAGAGGTAATTCCTTGGAAAGGGACACATGCTTGGAAAGGTGGAGGGTCAGCAAAACAACGGAATGGATTGACAACAGCTGCACCTGTGGACTCTTACGTGTCCCAGGTGGTGGGGTGAGCACAGGGCAGGGCAGGACAGGATTCACATCTGTTCTTCACAGGCTAACTGAGTTGCTCAGGACTCGACGGCACCTCACACAATAGTAAGTGGGTGTGAAATGGTGGCCCATCATGGTTGGGTTGGGTTGACTTTTTTCCCCATAGGCTCATGGCATTGAGCCTTTTTTCATGTGCTTACTGGTTATTTTGTCTCTTCTTTGGTTAGGTGTCTTCTCAGCTCCTTTGCCTGTTTTTTCACTCATGGTTCTTTTGTTAATCCCTGGTTTTATTTAGGTGAAGTCTCCTTTTTCTGTTGATTTATGTTCTTGTCATAAATCATTACCATTGCTGGTCTAATGTGATGGACATGTATTTTGTTTTCTTGCAGGAGTTCTGTTTTGGTTACATTGGCTCCATTTTGAGTGAGTGATTCAGTTTGAAAGAGGAATCCAGGTTCCCTCTTCCTCACATGCACAGCCCCCTGTCTCAGCCCTGTTTGTTGAAAACATTGTTCTTTCCCTCATTGTTTACCTTCTCTCCTGTGTTCACATTGTGATTGCACACGTGAGGGCCTCCTTCTGGACACTTGCTTGATCTTGTTCTCTGTTGATGTGTATATGCTAGTATCATGCTATCTTAATTTGTGCCCATATAGTTTACAAGGTTGTAACCTTTTATTTGATAATATTCTGGTGACTGTATTATCAGTTTATCAGTTCATAACTTTCCATAAACCTTCATTAGTGCACATTTGTTGGGACCTGCATGATCCAAAGTAGTATCAATTCTTTTAGGAATAACCACTTCATGAGAGAACATTGGGAAACAAAGACCTCTTTTCTCTTTCTTTAAAAACAAGATTTAGGAGTTGAACTAGCAGATAAGAGTTCTAGGTACTCTGTAAACGTGTTTAGTACTTCACTGTTCTTACAGCCCTCTCAAGTGAACTCTGTTCTTCCCTGTGTGACTGTTAGGAGAGTGCTGAAGGAAGCGGAGTCTCTAGCCCTGGTCTCACGGCTGCTAAGTGGCAAGACTGACCATCTGTGTGTCCAGTGCGTCTTCCCTGGTGACCCACTGCACAGTGCGTGGCTCACATTGGAGTCATAGCTCATCATTGAGGCTTTTCATGCATGTACATGGCCCGGAATGGTGTGTGTTCACAAGAATATCTATCTTGTCTTTCATTGAGGCAGAAGCAGTCATTCTCTGTGGTTGATATGTTTTCCTTTTTCCTCCTCAAGAGCTATCCACAGATGGTAATAAAGCTGCATGCAGGATGATGCAATTTATACTTCCCTCTTAATTACCAGTAATTTGATGTGTTGATCTGTTAATGAGTGGTAAGGATTTTAGGGTTAAATTTTAGACATGACTTCTTGATTGATGCCTTTGAGTTGTGGTGCTGGAGAAGAGTCTTGAATATACCATGGACTGCCAAGAAAAGAAATAGATCCATCCTGGAGAGGGTGAAACCAAGTTTCTCCTTGAAGGCTAGGATTTTGAAGCTCCAACTCACATACTTTGGGCACGTGGCCAGGAGGGCAGGACAAGATGCTTGGAAGGGTGGAGGTGGGGATAACCCTGGATGAGATGGATTGATAGTGTACCTGGGACAGTCGGAGTAGGTGTACTGGAGTCCGTGAGACCGGCTCAGGACAGGGCAGGGTTCAGGGCTGTTGTACATATGGTTGTTGTGAGTCGCAGGCAACTCAGTGGCACGTACCAACAGACGTGAGTTAACTCTTGGCCCACACGCACCTATGTGCAACCTTGAGGCATAACATTTACTTTCCCCAGGGCAGAATGGAAGCAGCCCTTGTAGAACCTATTTCATGATCTTCCGTAAGGAATCTCCTAGCCAGCTATCACTTCTGTAGTGTTAACACCATGTCAAACACTCAGTCCACTCAGCAGTGTGACTGCTTGGTACTGGAATCTAGTCTTTCTAAATGATGCTAGTGCACAGCATTTTCTTGTTCTGTGGCACTGACAAATCTCAGGTTCCCCTTAGCCTTGCTATACCGCAGAGGGAAATTACAACAGAATATGGGAGACCGTGGATTGTGTCTTCCTTCTGCATTTGTGAAAATGGTGATCATAGGTGACTTCTTCTTTAAACAGCTGTCCTAAAGGCTGCTAGAATGAGCCTGTAAATGGTTGAGAATTGTTGTCTCAGTGGTGACATCAGGTAAGCTCTGACCCACACAGCACTCTGCCTACACGGAAAGCGGTGTCTCGCATAAAAGGGGGAGCAGTCTTGTCTTGTCCTCTTTTAGCCTCCTAGAAGTCTCCTGCAGCTGGTCTGTTAATGTGTGTGGAGCTTCCGCCAGACATTTTTGTGAACAAATGAAGGCTTAACTGGCTTAATACTGTGACTTGCTTTGCATTGGGCTCAAGTGCTCCTATTGAATTTGACCTTCATGCCTGTGAGGGGCTGCAGTGTGTATTGGAAAGGACAAAGCTTTCGGGGCTCAGCCTCATGCTCAGAGCCCCCAGCAAAAGGGTCTCCCCAGCCTTCGGCAGCCACTTCCTCCTCTTACGCATGCTCACCTCCTCTCACATGCTCACCTCTCTGCACTGCAGCGTGTCTGCCTGTCCCCCCTTCCTCTTTGCTGGCCCTGGGCTTTCCCTCTGCTGTCTCTTGTTGTGATGTATATCAGGTTTTCTTTCTGTCAAGTATATCACCCGGAGCCAGTGAGAGCCTTTCTTCTGGCCTGTAACCCTTAAAACTCCAGTGTGTCCTGCGCTTCACACGTTCTGCCGTTTCCTCCTCCTGATGGTCCTTCTTTGCTTTGCGGCGGCTCATGTGTTAGATGGGCCAGCATGCCTAGTCGTCTTGCTCTGCAACCTTCTGCCCTCTCCCACTGCTGCTGTCAGCCAGGCCTCTGTTCCTCTCTCCACATACTTATGAGTGTGCTCAGTGCTAGAGCGTAGAGCCTTCAGTGACTTCCCAGTGATTGAAGAGAACCGGAAGTTGGAAGCCCTGGGTCCTTGTGTCCTTTTCCCACCTCATTCCCTGTGGCCCACCTGATTTTGCCACTAGTGTTCCTTGCTGTCAGGACAGCAGCCAGCTTCCTTTCCTCAGGGGTTTGAAATGTGCTGGGTCTTGTGTAGCCGTGTCTGTTTCTGAATGCCTTGTCGTGCCTCCGTCCTCTCCCACCTGACAGCACTTCCCTGTGCGTCCCCCTCTCTGTGAGGCTGCAGGGCCAGCCTTTTCCTCTCGTGCTGTGTCTGATTTCAGTGGATGGCAGACTTGAAGAGGGTGGGAGCATAGATGGCCATTTCACGCTCCGCTCCCAGGTGCTGTGGTTTCTGACTGGGAAGGCGAGGGGGTCTGAGTGCTTGGGTGCCTGTGGAGTTTTGTGGCAAGTTCTCTGGCTCTTACCATCTAGATAGAGAACAGGCTTGCCGCGGGTGGGATCTTAATCCCTACGTTTCAGAATGTTTACCAAGAGGAAGAATTGGCTTGTGCTCAGAGAGGAAACGGATGGTTAGAGTTGTTTTAAAAATAAATGGAAGTACGTTTATTTCTTACAGTTACAGCCAAGTTCTACTGACTCTGTGGATCAGTTGCTAAATAAAAATAGAGAGGGAGAAAAATCAAGAGATTTGCTCAAGGACAAGATTGAGTCCAGTGCTAAGGACTCTTTGATTGAGCACAGCAGCAGCACCTGCACGAGTGGGAGCAGCAAACCCAGCAGCCCCAGCATCTGCCCTTCAGGACTCGGGCCTTCAGAGCCCAGGAGAGGACCAGAGGTCACATCCCAGGGGGTCCAGACCTCAAGTCCAGGCGGAAAAGCCGAGAAGGGGGAGAAGGAGGAGAAAAAGGATGCTGCAGAGTAAGTATACTGGGACTTGTGCTCGGCCCGCTGCTTCCTAAGGCTTTTATTTCAGTCATAATTTTTCTGGAGAGTGTTCAGGTCTTTCAAAATCAGACATGCTCTGGGCTTTTCTGCCCCAGAGAAGCTTTTTCTGCAGCTTCTTAGTTGGCAGACATTGGTCCAAACTGTGGGGAGTCCGTTCCTTGCACGACCCACACTGCTTTCCCCTTATCTTCTGCCTCTGTGTTTGTGGCCCAAGGCAGAAGCTCTAGGCCTGAACTAAGAACAGCTTTTTCTTTTTTACATTTTTTTATATTTGTGTGTGCACGCGCGCCCTCTAATCGGGTCTGACTGGTACAGGAGGAGATTGTCCCTCCTTTTCCAGCAGAGCATCTGGTAGATTTGAACGTGTACCTTTGGGATTGCAGTGCAGCTTCTTGCCACTAGGCCACCAGAACTCCAGAACAGCTTTTTCTTAAGTGCTCAGACCTTGGATAACCTGTGCCCCCCAGTCTGCTACTAGGACTAGGAACTGCCACTAGCAGCAAGTCTCTGTCGCCCCTCCTGGGAGCTCACAGGACCGGGCTTGAGGTGGTGGGGGAAGGTTCAGGGAGGGGGGTGTGGGGGCTCAGCTTCTGGGTGGTAGCGCTGGAAATGGTAGTTGTGTTGCTGGCTTTCTGCTGCACCTAGTTATTTTGTCCTGTCCTCAAAACCACCCGCCCTTTAGACAGTTCCTTGTTCTAGTTTCCACACAACTTGATAACTCTTTAGAGTTCACTATTTTTGTGTGTGTAGAGTAAAACCAACTAATAACTGTCCCTCCAGCAGCTTTTCTGAGGCAGTAAATAGCACAGAAGGAGATTAGCCCTCTTTCTCTTACAGAGCAGCTGGTGGATTTGAACCACATACCTTTGTGTTGGCAGCTCAGTTCCTTGGAATGCACTGATTTGTTGGTAAATTGAGGACTGCTTACTTATTGGTTTGAGACAGGAAATGTAGTAGAATCGTGGTTTCTGTCAGTGTGCACCAGGAGCTGAGTCCTTTAACCTGTCCAGCCCTGCGCTGGAGCTCAGGGGAGGCACAGTCTGGGATCCTCGGCCCCAGCGTGCTGTCTCCCCACTTGAGGAATTTTAGTGACTGCCGACTGCCTTTGGGACAGACGAATTGATAGTATACGCTTTTGAAAAGATACTTAAAATTTCCTCTTCTGGCCACTGTGTAATCAGATTGAGGGTAGAAAATAAATACCGGTGGTTTTTCTTTTAAATGAGAAGATCAGAGCTCTTCTGGTGTGAATTTAATCTGCAAGTTTTGCTAACTCCCCCCAGTGTCAGTGTCAGTGGCTATGAAGAGACGTGATACCCATGCAGCTCTGACTGCCCCTTCTGTTTTCTCCTTGTCAGGCAAGTTAGGAAATCCACGCTGAACCCCAACGCAAAGGAGTTCAACCCTCGTTCTTTCTCTCAGGTAAGTGGTTACTCTCCTTGGGTCGTGTAACCTTGGTGGCTCAGTGGCTTTAGGATTGAGCTACTAACCCAAAGGTCAGCTGTTCAACTCTGTAGCCACTCTGAGAAGGATCTCCATCTCTGGAAGCCTAAGGAACGGGCCCTCCTGAGCCCTGGTAGACGCGTCCGCATCCTTGCAGCCAAGTAGACGGCAGTTGTCACATGCTGTCAGGCTCACCATGCCACCCAGCAGGCCTGTGGGTGTGGGCCATAGTATCTACAGGGGAGAAAATCCTGTGGTTTGTGGTTTGGTTGGTTGGGTTTTTTTTGGTTTGTTTTTTTATAAAATCCGTATACTTTTTGTTTCACACTTTCCCTCAGTGACATTGTGTTTTATGCAGTCATTCCTATACACTGTGTTTTATAAAAATAATCACCATTGAACTATATGCCCACCATTACCCTGTATTTCACGTCCCCGCCAGATCTTTCCTGTTTCCTTTAATCCCTCCTTCTACCCACCAAATTATGGGAGCCTGTGATTTCCTCCTGCCCATCCTCATCCTTCTGCTTCCACCCCTTCCCCCCTTGGACCTCCATCTACATTTTAATATGTAGTAAGTTCCTTCTTCCACACTTGCCATTGGTATACAGTTGTGTGCTGAAACAGCTTTTTCTTAAGTTTCATTTTCTTTGATCATAAATGCTTATTTATGAGCCAAGAAAAATCGTAGTTTTGTTATCAGATATGGTGTTGGAGTGTGAGGAAGGTTGATTTAAATTCTGTGAGGATACTGACAGCTGTGTTCTTGTAATTTGTTAGAAGAAACTTATGTTTAAAGTTATTTTGAGTACTTCTTTAATGGCTTAAAAGAAAAGTTACCCCAATTATTTTTATGTTTTACTATTAATTGGCAGTTTTCCTTAACCTTTCTGCCAAATCCGTTTTCTTTCTATTTGAATCTTCGGTAAACTTTTCTTACTGAAAGGGATTAGTGACCAGCAGCTCTGTTTGTGTCCTTCTAGCCAAAGCCGTCTACCACCCCGACGTCGCCTCGGCCTCCAACACAGCCCAGCCCGTCCATGGTGGGGCCTCCGCAGCCCGCTCCGCTTTATACTCAGCCTGTTTGTTTTGCACCAAATATGATGTACCCAGTCCCAGTGAGCCCAGGCGTGCAAGTAAGTTTGCGGGCTTAGTGCCCGTGGGTTCCCCCAGGATCTGGGTGTGCTCTGACTGAAGTAGCCATGGTACTGGGAGAGGGAACAGAATCAGAGAGTGGTAGTGGTTGCTGGTGAAGAGCTGTGTGAGACAGAGCCTTTGATTTACTGGAGCTGGGAGTCCTTTTACGTGTGGGGCTATATTTCAGCCAGGTGGGTGCAGGCAGAGGTCTCGGCACAGGCCCTGGGCTGTAGCATCATTTGAAGTCAGACAAGCAGACAAGCTGAATGTTTGACCTAGGGAATGGCTAGTTACATAATGTTGATACTATAGAATTGTTGAAAATAGCTAGATTTTCAACATTTGCATTTATTAAATGAAAATCAAACACAAAATGCATCACCATAAATAGGAGCCTTCTAGCTCTTTAGCAGTGGAGAATAGGAGTGGTGGAGAGAATATTTCCTTCCTGTGTAAGAGCCTAATCATCATTTTCAATTGTTTAACCTTCTCAAGCCTCTATACCCGATCCCCATGACGCCCGTGCCTGTGAACCAAGCCAAGACCTATAGAGCAGGTAAAGGTGAGACATTCCTGCCGTTTGCTTGGGTCTGCATGCTGCATGAGTCCTGCAGCCACAACTGAGTGCTTGTGGGTCCTCAGGCTGTGTGCCGACTCCCGAGGACCCGTGCTGCTCAGGGATCCAGGTGCACGTATGGACAGGGGGGAGGCGATAGGACATCCGGGTGAGAATTAAAGGAGCCACGGTGGCTCCCTGGTTAAAGCACCTGGCCACACCAACTGCTTGATGTGTGGATAGCATCCCAGTCTGCTTCCGTTCCAGCTCCCAGCCTGGGTCCTGCAGGGCATTGCTGTGGCTGCCCTGCTCTGTGGGGGCACTGTGACTGGGATGGACTTGATGGCCATAGGCTGGTTGTGTCCTCTTCAAAAAGAATGCTTCAGTTCCAGTGGTGTTGGTGTTAGTTTAAAAGATTTGTTTGACTCATAAAGTACATTGTAAACTTGGTTTTATGTGAATATACAATTCTTTTCTCAAAGTCTAAAGTTTCTTTTGAAATGTATAACTGCAGTGACCAGTGTTTCAACCTGTTAGAGGGCTGCTTCATCACATACAAAATGAGGGCATTCCAGTAAAATCCAGCTGTACAATTTACTATTCTATACTTACATGATTAAAGTGGCTTCGTGGAGGAGGATAAAGCACATTTACCTTCAAAGAAATTAATCCTTTAGTGTTGGAAAATGCTAAAGAATTTCATTTTACCATCAATTAATTAATAATAGTTTCTTGTATTTTATTGAAAAACTGAAGCAGAGTAACTTCTATTTTTTAAAAAAATATACTTTTTAATGCCCAGTAATTGTTCTTTTGACATAAAAAGGAACTTTTAGTTCTTAAATTAATAAGTTTTCTTGACTGGTGAGTTCTTAACCTCTTCTCTGCTAAATGCAGAATCCTGTGTCTCTGCTTTAGAACACTTGGACCTGTTGAAAATCCTCTCTCCTAGATGACCTATGGAAATCTGGCCAGTCCGACTCGTAACTGACCTTCCAGCGGGCTTTCTGAGGCAGCTTGTTCGCACAGGGACTGATCTTTCTTCTGAGAATAGGCTAGTCAATTCAGACCGCCAGAGTAGCCTTAGTTTTAGCAAATGCAGCTCTTTGCAGACTGTTCCCAGAGCTCCCTAAAGGCATCTGGGATTGTATACCATCAAGTCAGAACCAGCCCAAACCTGACCCATCAGCAGGTTTTTAGAGGCAAAAAACCACCTAGAAAGAGATTGCCTATCTTTCTCCCACAGAGCAGCTGGTGGATGTGAACCATGGACCCGTGTGCTGGTGGTATACTTTCTTACCACCAAGCCACCAGAGCTCTCTGAAAGGAGTCTAGTGACTAGAGATAAGAAGACTGTGAGGGCTTGAAAACATTCAGGAAAGAAAAGTTTGTTCATGCCATTTTGAGTGACGGACCAGTATCCAGGTGTGTGTGTGCATTCCTACCTGATTTTGTGCTGTCCAGTGACTTCTTAGGCTGACTTGATGGGGTTCTGTGATGTTGGTGAGGATAGTGACTCCCACGTAGCCTTCTGAAGTGAGGGAAAAGGTGCCAGTAGATTTCAGGACAGTGTCTCTGGAGCAGAGGACAGCGCCGGTGCTGCTGTCCTGATGAGGGACACAGAAAGGCCTCCGCTCTGCCTGTCATTGAGATTCAAACGCTGGGGAGGGTTTCTCTGGTAGCCTTCTGCATGTCTTCTTAGCAGCACTGTGCAGAACTAATTGCAGGCATCGTGTCACTCTGTTCCTTCAGACTAGGTATATCTTAAAAATGCAGACGTTGTGTTCACTTCGGCAGCACATATACTAAAATTGGAATGATACAGAGAAGATTAGCATGGCCCCTGCGCAAGGATGACACGCAAATCCGTGAAGTGTTCCGTATTTTCGACCCTGAAATTAACCAGTCTGTAACGAAGGCTAACTCCTTTCACCTACAAATTTCGTCTTTGGATACAAAGCTAAGTGGATAGTCCTTATGGAGGGACTGTTTAAAAAGAGGCAGTGAAAAAAAAAAAAAAGAAAAAAAATGCACAAGTTGTTGGGGAGGAGGAAGGCAAGAAAATGTGCAGCAGTGGAAAAAAGACAAAAACAAGTTTGGGAATTGAAAATGGAGGGAGGTGTCGTTCTTGGATACCTAGTGTGCTGGTACCAGCACTTCCCAAAAAGTCATTTTCTTGGGAAAACCCAGGAGCTGTGCTGCTTAGCATAATGGCTGTGCATGATGAATTGGCTTGCTTGCCTCCAAACTGTCCTTGGATAGCACGTTTATTTGCACTGTGTCCCACACTGAGCAGTGCACCACTCCATCCCTGCCATTGCTCTTGGCAGAAACCAGCTTTTGTGTAGAATTCTCCACAGTCTAGATGGGGTGTCGAGTGGTTTCACCAGTGAGACCCATATTCAACTTTCTGCAGGAGGACTTGGGCCAGAGAAGGTCTCCCCATCTCGTCAGGTTCGCAGACACAGCCCAAGGTGGTTTGCCGTTCTAGTCAGAAGGCTTATTGGGTCAGATGCAGGGAGCCTGGGCTCCCAGTGTAAAGTGTTTGGTCTCTGCCGTGGCATCGCTGCCTCATAGGCCTGTTTCTCCCTTGTGCTGTGGCCTCGGATGTTAGGGAATCTCTTGGGAGGTTGGTAGACTATACCTGCTGCCAGTCCCCAGAGGCTGAATTCAGTGGCTTCAGGTGGAGCCTGAACGTTTACCTTCCCAGAAGCAAGGACGGTGCAGTTTCATCTCCCGTACTTTGACCACTGATTGAAGTCAGTTCAGTGGACCAAACAACAGGCCCGTCATAGCAGGTTGATTCCCTGAGGATGCTGACCGTCATCCTGGCCTGAGACCTCACTTGGAAACTGCTCAGTAGCAGTGAGTATGATGACTGCTGAATCCTCAGCACTTTTACCTCCACTCGTTAAAGGTCATTCCGTACTGGCTTCCCCCAGGTGCTTCGGTTATCTTGAGGCAGCTCGAACAGGGAAGAGAGGGTCCACACAGAGTGACGTGTGGGTGCCCTGGCTGTGTCCAGTGGTCTTGGCTGAGGTGTTTTCTCCTTTGAAAACATCCCTTCCTCTCACTTAATATTAATTGGGATAAAATACATATATAATAAAACCTTTTCCATTGTAGCCATTTTTAACTGTATAAATTTAGTGACATTAATTACATTCACCATGTTGTGAAACCGTTACTCCCTTTTGCCATTGCAGAAGTTTTGTATTCCCAAAATAACTCCATCCTTCACAGACAGCGAGTGCCCGCCGCCCAGTCCTGGCACCACTGGTCTACCTCAGCCTCTTCCTGTGTGTCTCTTGGGGATACTTCCTACACGTGGGGTCATCGGGGGCTTGTCCTTTTGTGGCTGGTTTCTGTCACTTGGCGTGGTAATGTCAAGGTTAATCTGAGTTGTTGCGTGCCCGTGAATATCATTCCTTCCTAGGACCACGTGGCTGTGTGGAGCACATACCGTACCCCAGTGCGTATGGACACCTCATGTTTCTCTGGTCACCTGCTCAGGGGCCTTGCGCTGGCTTCATCTTTGACTCCTGTGAAGACAGCTTTGCCTGCATTGTAGCGCACAGGCTTCTGTTTGAGTTCCTGCTGTGAAATCTGTGAGAGTATTCGGAGTGAACTTTGTGGGTCATGTGGACATTTGGTGAGGAGTTCCTTCCTCTGTGGTCTGTTTCTTGAACGCTAGAGTACCTGGGTTTCTGTGTATGCATGTTTGCTGCTCCGTATAGTCCTTCTTTGTATCCTTCAGTGTCTGAGGGGCCTGCTTCCTTTACCTTAGTGAACACCATCTGAGCACTGGCTGTGCTCCTTGCTGTTGCATAAAGGCTGCTAGACATTTTCAATAGACAAAGAACATTAAGGAGTATCACTCTTTCCCTTTTCAAAAATTTAGAATTTGTAGTATTTCCAACTTCGATAAGCATTGTAAAAATTTAACTGTGACTCGCATCTCTTACTGTCTTACACTGAAAACACAGATTACTAATGTGTTTTATTTTTTTATCTACCACATAACAAATTATCCACAAAATGTAACAGCATGTGCACAAGCATATTACTTTACAATTTCTGCAGTTAGGAATGTAGGAAGCGCTGAGCTGTGAGGTCAAGGGCTCTCCTAATCTTGCAGATAGTTGCTGGTCAAGGCGGAAGGCTAAGGTGGCCAGTGCTGCTTGCTCTCCAGTTCATTCACCAGAACTGTTATGAGACAGACTCTTCTGCCATGCCACATAGGCTTCTCCATGTCCTAGTTGCTTATGAGCAGTGACTGTCCCGAAGCCTCGAATGACACTGGCCTCGTGGAAGCCGTGCTGCTGTCTGACCCAGCCCCTGAGGTGGCTGCCATTGGTTCCTCAGGACGGTGAGGGTCAGCATGGGGTAACAGTCTCCCTGAGGCAGATTTAGTTAGTATCACTTCCCAGTAATTTATCTGATTTTTAGACTCTAGAATAAAATTTAAGATGTCATTTCTTAAAATTCCTTTATCTGTTTCATTCGTGCACACTGCTTTGGGGGTTTTTCTTTGCCCCCTTCCCTCCACCCACCAAACTCTGCATCCCCATGATTTCCTACATTTCCCCTGCCTCTTCCCCTCCTTTTCCCATTTTGGGTATCTGTCCACATCTTACTGGCTCTCCTCCTGTTTCTACAGTAATGGTCTTATACAGTATTTGTCCTTGTGAGTCTGAGTGAGTTCACTCAGCGTAATGCTCTATACCTTCTCTGTTATGTAGTACTTTTCAAAATCCTTGCTCCTGAGTTTTGTATAGTGTTCAGTCATGTGAATGTCCTCGGTTTCTCAACCCCATTGTTTGCTGATGGACATTTGAGCTGTTTCCATTTCCTTGCCATTGTGAAGAATGCTGCTGAAAGTCAGTGTACAGTTCGCTATTTGTGTTTCGGTTCTGTTTGCCTACTAGTCTAGTCCTAGCAGTGGTAGACTGGGTCATATGAAATCTCTGTGTTTTAGCTTTTTGATGACATGATAAACTACCTTCCAGAGTGGTTGTGCCATTTTACAGTCCCACCAACAGTGTGTGAGACCATGACCATAGGAACAGCTCCAACAGTGTGTGAGCCCATGACTGGAGGAACAGCCGTTTGGAGCCTTACCCTCTTCTGCGCCATCCTTCCTCCTGTCCTCAGGCCTGTCCTTCCATCCTCAGTCACTGTGTCGGGTATCTCATTGAGGGTCTTCCTCCCACTTTCACATATATATGAAACCCTTGAAAATACCATGACATGGAGCTGATGAGATAAACATGAAGTGCAGGCTAGAAATGAAGTTGGGTATCTTGATACTGAGTTAGTGTCTGGTGTTTGCACAGCACAGTAATTGAAGATGATTTCCTTCTACCCTCAGGCCCAGTTTGTTCCTTGGTATTGCTGATTGGCATTTTCCTTTCTGTTGCATTACACTTAGCTCATTTGTTTACAAGTTGATGGATACTTGGGTTGTTTCCAGTTCAGGGCTAGTGTGAATAAAACCTCTGTGAGGGTTTATGTGGAAGTATTTGTGTGGACATCGGTCTCTCTTCTCTTGGATGAAGACCTAGAATTGAAATTGCCAAGTTGTATATAATATATGTTTACATTTATAAGAAAATAGCATTATTGATTTCCAGAGAGAATGTGTGCGAATACCAGGTGCTTTATATCCTGGCCAGCAGTTGGTATTGGCAATCTTTTTCATTTTAACCTATCTAATGAGTTATAATAGTATCATGTTTTAATCAGTATTTTCCTAGTGATGACTTTTCTTGTATGTCTTTTCATGTATTTATTGGCTGTCTTTATATCTTCTGAAAAGTGTGTCTATTCAGAACTTTTCCCCATTTTTATGATGAATTATAGCAGTTCTTCATGTATTCTGGATACAAGTCCTTATCAGAGATAAATGTTATGTATGTTTTTAAAAGTTCTGTGGCTTACTTGAAAGTTTTATTTCAAATTACCAATAAAAGTTAGTACATTTTCTTTCTGTTAATTTTGATGAAGTTCTATTTATCATTTTTTTTCTTTCTATGATTCCTGAGTTTTTTTGTGGCCACCCCATGTCCTGAATATGTTTAGGTTTTCTTGGAGAAGTTTAATAGTTTGAGCATTAGGATTCAAATGGAATCACTTCCAAGGTTTGGTGCTGGCAGTGACAAGATGGTCAGAGTCCATTCTCCTAGGTGCATTGCCATTTTTCCAGCACGGCCTCTGTTGTCTTACTATCTTGGGATTTTTTTCTTTGAATAGTGCATTGTTCTAGATTAGAATTGTTTGACAGGTCTAGTGAAAGTATTTTTTGTATTTCATCTTTCTTTCCCCCTTCTTTTTTTTACTTTTATTTTTTTATTATTTTAATGGCCCACTCCTCCCCCCAGTTTGCTCTTCTCTTTGAAAAGTAAAAGAAAAATTCTTTCATTGTACAATCACTTTCCCCAAGTCCACTCCACTATGCAGCCTTAGTTTTGGACTCCTGTCATGACAATAATACCCAATCATATATCCCTTTATATAGAAGGAGAATTGATGCCTTTGAGCTGTGGTGCTGGAGAAGAGTATTGAGGGTACCATGGACTGCTAGGAAAACAATGAGATTCATCCTGGAAAGGGTTAAACTGGGCGGCTCCCTGGAGGCAAGGATTCTGAGGCTCCGTCTAAAATACTTCAGACATGCTGTAAAGAGGGACCAGTGCTTGGAGAGGGACAGCGCAGGAGGGAAAGGCCCTCTATGAGGTGGATTGATTCAGTGACTGGGGTAATTGGGATGGGTGTATCAGAGACAGTGTGACTGGCACAGAACAGAGCCGAGTTTAGGGCTGTTGTACATAGGGTCTCTATGAGTCGCAAGTGACTTGACAGCACATAACAACAACAACAGCAACATATCCCTTTTAAATAATTCTCTCCCTCATCTGTTTCAATGCAGTATACATAATTTATCCTATCTTACTCAGTCTCCCCACAGCCCCGATGTCAGTCCCGTTTTACAACAGTGGCACTATGCAGTATTTGTCCTTTTGTGACTGAGATATTTCACTCAGCATCATGTCCTCCAGGGTCACCATTTTGTATAATACTGCATGAGTTCCTTGTTTTTCAATGCAGCGTAGTATTCCATTGTGCGAATATACCACAGCTTTTCTTTCCATTCATTTGTTGATGGGCTCTTAAGTTATTTCCAACTCATTGCTATTGTGAACAAAGCCGCGATAAACATGGATGTGCATATATCTGTTTGGGTGGCATAGTGAAAGTATTTTTAATGTCTTTCGAATGATGAGTACCGCCATGCCTGGTTCTGGAGGAGCCCTGCTGTGTGAGGTAAGGTCCTCCAAGGCTGGTATTTTCTTCATACAGAACCACCTCTTGGTCTTCTTGCTCCTTGCTTGACAGCTCTCTCTCTCACAGCCTGTGAAGAGAATGAAAAAGATGTCAAAAGTCTGGGACTTAATAAAGGCAGGGTGTTGACATTTGGGGACAGATGCTCTTCGTGTGGTGGAAGGGTAGGTGGCCATTGGGCACTGTACGTGGTAAGCAGCACCCTCCAGACCGCCCTCCGCTGGATGTGATGTCACTAGCAGCCCTGCTCCCCAATTGTAACAGCCAGAAATGTCTCCAGATGCTGTCCCCTGAAGGGCAAAATCCCTCCCTGCTAAGACCCGTCCGTGGAGGAAACGGCTCTGTAAGAAGCCCTCTAAAGTGTTGGTTAGATCAAGTTTAACCTAAGAGGGGTTCAGTTTTGAAGAAACACCCCCCACCCCCAACCAAGACTCTGTTCCACATCTCTCACCTTACACACACACACACACGTGTGAACAGTGTGTGCTACCGCTGAGGACGAGAACCAGTCTGCTGTCCCCCAGGGGAGGGAAGGGGAGTCTTTGCTGCGGAGTAGACAGCTTGGTTAACTCGCAGACAAACATTTCCCTGATCAAAATGACACCTGTGTTTGGGGTAGCTTTTTCTTTACCAAAGAGAGCTACTTTATCGCTTTGTGGACTCTGGGGATTAAATTGAGGTAAATATTTTGTTCTCTTGGTTTCTCCTGTTGTCACGTTTGTCTTTTGAAATTGGTTTTTAGGACCAGGTTTGTTGTTGTTGTTGTTGTTGTGTACTGTCTAGTTGGAACCAACCCATAGCTGATCCTCCAGCAGGCTTTCCGAAGCAGTTTAATCACGTGTGGACACTGCCTTTCCTTCTCTTGAAGAGCAGTTGGTGGATTTGAACAGCGAATCTTCAGGATTGCAGGGCAGTTCATTCCCACTAGGCTGCCAGAGCTCCCTAAAATTCAATAATAGTTAAATGACATTTTTGGCAGAAGCTTCTAAAGTTTAAAATTAAACAAAACTCATGGAATTGGCAATGACTTGTATAATCAGCTCAGAGGCTTTTAAGAACACCTCGAGCCAGGCACACTCCAGAGGCCATGCTGTAACAGAGCTGGGATGGGGAGGAGAAGCGCAGGATGGCAGGATGCAGCCCACTCCTGGTCAGGCCTGGGGAGAAGACCGCGAGGCTGAGTGCTCAACCAGAGCTTTGCCAGGGCTGCAGCTTGCAAGCAGGAGCTGTGGCACTGAGCCCCTCCTCTGGGCTGGACCACGCTAGGTCCAAGGAGTTGGAGATGGTGCATCAGTTCCCAATAGCAGGAAATTAAAAGGGTTAGAGATGAAAGAGGCCTACTTGGCTATTAACCAAAAAGTTGACAGTTCGAAACTCTCCAGGAGCACCAGCATTTCAGTCTGCCAATCTGCTGATGCCTGTGGAGCATTCTGCCTGTAACACACCCCAGTAACTTCCCAGAAGCACGGCATAGAGGGAGTCCAGGGCAGGCTGGGTCCAGGCCTGCTCTAGCAGTTGTTTTCTGTTCCTTTGAAAATGGAACTATCAAAACAACTATGAGATACCATCTCACCTCAGTCAGAATAGCAAAATTTAACAGAGCAGCAAACAACAAATGCTGGCAAGGTTGTGGAGAAACTGGAACCCTTATTCACTGTTGGTGGGAGTGTAAAATGGTGCAACCACTGTGGAAGGCTGTATGGCGCTTTCTCAAAAAGTTGGAAATAGAAATACCATTTGACTCAACATTTCCACTACTGGGAATATACCCTAAAGAAACCGTAACTGCCACTCAAGCAGATATATGCACACCCATGTTTATTGTGGCTTTGTTCACAATAGCGAGGAGTTTGAAACAACCTAAGTGCCCCTCAACAAAAGAATGGATAGGGAAGCTCTGGTATATTCACACGATGGAATACTACACTGCATTGAAAAACAAGGAACTCATGAAATATTATACAAAAGTAATGACCCTGGAGGACATTATGCTGGGTGAAATATCTCAGTCACAAAAGGACAAATACTGTATAGTGCCACTGTTGTAAAATGGGTTGGGGGAAGATAAAGATAGGATAAATTATGTATACTGCATTGAAACAGATGAGGGAGAGAACTGATTAAAAGCAATATATGATTGGGTATTATTGTCATGATAGGAGTTCAAAATGAAGGCTGCATAGTGGAGTGGACTTGGGTGGGGAGGAGGAGATTGAATTTTTCTTTTACTTTTTAAAGAGAAGAGCAAACAGAGGAGGGATGGGCAGCGAGAAAAATGCAGCAATGAATGAATGGAAATTCAAAGTCTCTGTAAACATGTTTATTAAAATTAATAATGGGGGGACAAAAGAAAATGGACCTAATGCCCTACGCTCATGAGCTCCCTAATTGGTGAGCCACACTTGTGGGGTGTAGACCTCACCCTTGGGGCCTGATAAGCCCAGAGTGATCTGAAGTCAGTTTCAGGGTCTGGGAGCTATCACACTTTGAAGCTGATGGCTGAGCGACGAGGAGGACATTGTAGGCATTGTGGGAGGCACAGAGGGTGGGGGTGCTGTGAGGCAGTGCTGCAGCTGTGGCCAGGTGGGTGGCTGGTGTACGCAGGGTCTCCAGGCAACGCTGTGACCTCACACTCTGTCGTCTTTCCCTGCAGTACCAAATATGCCCCAACAGCGGCAAGACCAGCATCATCAGAGCGCCATGATGCACCCGGCCTCCGCGGCAGGCCCGCCCATCGTCGCCACCCCTCCAGCTTACTCCACGCAGTACGTTGCCTACAGTCCTCAGCAGTTTCCAAACCAACCCATCGTTCAGCATGTGCCACATTACCAGTCTCAGGTAAGACCCTGGTCTCCCCGCGCTTAGGATTGTTCCACCGACTGACTGTTAATTTGAACATGTACAAGTGACTCTCATGTGGCTGTGTGTTAAGGAGGGATTAAGGAGAGGGCTTTCAAAATACAGATGAGGAGGTCACCCCGCAGTGCTACAGTTCCATCAAAGAGCCAAGGTAGATGTTAGACTTTCCTGGGAGTGGCAGCCATGGAGTTAAGATCTCTGTCTGACATGTCCTTGACTCTGCTGTGAGATTTGAATGTTGTTTCTCTTTTGTTTGAACGCAGCACCCTCATGTCTATAGTCCTGTAATACAGGGTAATGCTAGGATGATGGCACCACCAGCACATGTCCAGCCGGGCTTGGTATCTTCTGCAGCACCTCAGTACGGGGCTCACGAGCAGACACATGCGATGTATGGTAGGAAACACTTTGTTTGTCTCTCTCAGTGTGTGTGACGATTGTAAAGCCATTCTGCATTAAGAACAGCCTGGCCTTTTGTGGCCTTGAGGGTTGGGCATCCACGAGAAGAACTGATTTCTGCTTCTGGCCTGCTTCCTTAGCCTTGGCCAAACATTGCCGCTGCTGGACTTGTCACATCTCTCTGCTTTCTCTGTAATCGCAAATGTAATGAAGTCTAACCACAGAGCATCCTTTGGGGAGAGAAGTGTCCTGCTCCTGTCCTCTGTCTCCCCTCCTTCCCTGCTGCTCGCTTGGTGTTCTCTGCCGGAGGCATGCGGGAATGTTGTGCCGTGACATGCGTTAACTGCCCGGGACAGCATGGGAAGCTGCCTCCTCCCTGTGCTGGGACCCTGGCTGTGAGGGGGTTCGCTGCTCACCGCAGTGGTGTGATGCTGGGCTATGCATCAGGCAGTGTTCCGAGTGGGCATGTGGCCGCGCTCGCCTGTGTGAGACATGAGTCACACTTCACATCTAATCTGTGTATGCACATGGTATGATCACTGGAAGCTATCCTCCGTAACAGTAAATTGTATTTTTATATAGAAGAATAATGAGCAACAACAGAAAATCTTGCTGCTGCCACGGAACTTTTTGTAGGTCAGCTGAGCAACTCCCTTAAAGTCCTGAGAGAAGATGGCTCTACTGTTGTAAATTTCCCATGGAAGTTACCAGATAACGATGTGCAGTTGGTGGATTGTCCCTGACTATGTTTACAGCGTGCCCTTCACTCTTAGCGCTTTGGGACTAAAGGTGTGGCTCCTGTTGGGACGCTTTCCAGCTCTGTGGCGTTTCCATTTGTGGGCTGAGAGGAGATAAGCAGATCCTTATTCCTGCAGTTAGGAAATGCCCCACTGTGCAAACACTACAGTGGCTGCACAGCCAGTTAGCTCTTCGGATCCCCTGCAACCTTCACCAGTTACTAAGGATGGAAAGCTTTGTGTTTCCTTCGGGTACAGGTGTAGGTGAACTGAGTTGCTTCAAGCTCCCTCTTTGAACTGTTACTGCTTGTTTGCGTACTTCTCCGTCTCCTGCTCTAATGTAGGGTCGTGACAACAGTGCCCTCCTTTGTCACCCACATCACAGCTCTGCGTCCTTCCTAGAGGCTGCGCCTGCGAGGGGATTGGACAGGACTAAAGGCGGGAGTTTTAGAAATGTTTACAAAGTCTGCTTTTCATTTTCTATGCTGTTGCTTCTAAAAAATTTTGGATTATGCATTTTAAATGGAAAATGGTATAATTGCTCCGTTTTGGAGTACATTTCTTTGAGAAACTCGTCTGCAGTTCATTGGGAAGATAAACTGACACACCTGGTTTTGCTGGTCTGGGTTGTGATTGCCTGTCCTCCTGTCCTGTGGCTGCCTTGTCCAGGACCAGCTGTGAGCGCTGGCCCTGCAGCTTCATCAGGCTGGCTTTCCCACAGCTTGTGTACATGTCAGCCACTGCCCAGCTGGCCTTTACGTGAACTGCTCGTGATGTCTGCTCATCCACGGTGCTGAATCCCTCGCGTTTTAACAAACAGAAGGATTTATTCCCTCTCATTTTTCTGGCACACACCCCTTGGAATAAGGTCCAAAACTTGTGTGCTAAAATGTCCCCTGTTGTTGTGACATTAAGGCACCTTGAGATGTTTAGCAGTATCTGGCCCCTCCAGGTCCCTCACTGACTTTGTTCTGGAGATGGACAGTCACCAGTTTTAAAGCAGCCTGTGTAGTGAACAGTGTATTTGAGGCATTAATCGTTTTTATAATGACCTTCTCAAAAACATTTCCATTTGAAAAGCTTTGGACTCTGAAGTCCTTTCAGGTGTGAGCAAATGGGAAGATCCGAAGGCAGACAGAAAACACTTGAGCCTAGTGGTCACCACAGACTGTCCTCTATGTGAGAGGACGTGTCACCCCACCATGTCCAGCTGTGATGTGGACAGTATGGCTGGTGCCAGTAGGGCTGCTTTCCCGGTCTGTGCCATAATGACAGTTTAGTCTGCTCACATTCTTCGCTGGATTGACATTGTTTCATTTGCAAGCCTAATTATGCCCAGTAGAAACAGATTGGTGAAGTGCGTGTCCTTTTAAACGACAACAAAACTTTTTGCATAAAAATGCTAATTTTTTTTGTCTCCCAGAAACAATTTCTATATTCCAGTCTCGAAGCAACTAGATACTGAGTATGGGTTCTTTTTTATCTACCCTATGTAGATCTTTTAAACCATTTTACTAGGCAGACAAGCATCCTTTCCCCTTAAATATTAGTGACCATTTTTGTCATCCATTTGTTATGGCCGTAACAAAGGACTTTGAGAATAGATAGAACCACTGATCTGCAAAGTAACACTCATTTTAAATTTTGGTTCATTTTTTTTACCACAAATAGGCTAACAGATTATGCAACAGTTAACAGTACTGAGGAGGAGATGGTATGTCCAGGGTGTTGACCATTTGAGAAAGGACTTGCTAGAGCTGCATGCCTTTGACTCTAAGTCACCCTCCTTCATGGTCTCTGCCGGTGCCTCCCTGACTTCTAATCTTCTTACACACCGCACCTCGTTGTGACAGCGATGTTTTTCCCTTCATGAGGTGGTACTAATGACACTTGATGCATTGACAAAAGCCCTGGGCCACACTGGAGCCAGATCCCTGATTTAGTTTGGGCAGTTTCATGACAATAAGTTATAAATTATAGCAAGCAAACAAATTTAAAAGCACCAGTTACTACCTCACCACCTGTTAATGGTTTGCGGTTTCTCTGTCCAGATGTGCTTAAGCACGTACTTTTTGGTTGATGTATTTTAATGTGAATGATAGTGTGCATGTAATATTTTGCTGTTTCTAAATGTTTTCATCTACTACCAGATGTCTTAAGAAACACCCTTCCAAATAGCAGCACTTGTTGCCTCATTTGGATTGAACCTGGTAAATAGTGTCTTATTTTGATGATTATTTATGAAACAGTTGTTCAGTGAAATGCCATGGTGGTCTTTTACCAGGAAATAATTTCATTCCTTTCATTGAAGCAACTCAGATTTTGAAACTTGACACCCGTGACAGAAGAAGGTGTCTTTTTGAGAATACTGTCTGATTGAATTCTGCAGCGCTACTTAAAAATGCTCGTCATCACTTGTAAAATAAAAAATGAACTGTGCATGAATTCAAAGAGAAATTACTAAATATGTCAACCTTTCCAGACAGTGAGGCTCGTGCACGCCTGAAGGCTAATTCACCTTTGTGTCTCCCAAATCCAGCATGCCCCAAATTACCATTCAGCAAGGAGTCCAGCCCTTCCTTCTACTTTGCCAGTGAGTTGGGTTACACTCATTTTAACTGTGCAGTGAAACACTTTTTAAAGAAGACATGTTAAGGGAATGGACTTGTTGAATAATATTTTCCTTGTGGCAGACAAAATAATTTTTGAAATACATATCTTAATAATTTTCAAAAATTATAAAAAAAGAAAATTGAACTCAGCTTTTAGCTGAAATAATAAAAAGCCACTTGTTTCAGAAATTAATTTTTGCATACCAAGCAAACATGACTATTTTGACCATGCCTAGTAGTTTCATTTTTAAATAAAAACTTACTGAAAACACTTTTTTTTGGGGGGGGGGGGGTCACAAGCTTTTGTAGAGTTTTTTGTTTATTTAGTATCCTGGCAGGAGAGAATTTCAGCCTTTGCATGAATGAAGGCTGTAAAGTAACTCCTAACTCCAGATGTGTGGTCTTGTGTGTAGAAGGAAGGTGGGCCTGGCCCTTCCAGTTCCACCAGGATGGCATGCCCAGAACAGTCACCCAGGCACCCTTGGTCACCTGCTCCCTGCACCAGAAACTCCCAGGCAGAGAAATTCGGCCGGCTTTGGGCAGTGAGCTGAGCAGGTCTGTGTTCTCTGTGTTGGGCACAACTGTGCATAATGCTGGTACATGGCCCTTCAGCCCTTCGAGGGCCCTCAGCACTAAAAGGTGCACGCAGCACTCAGGGCCCACAGCACTCAGGTGCACTCAGAGGGCCCTCAGCACTCAAAGGTGCACTCACTCACAGAAATCCCATGGAAACTTAGGCTGTTAATATGTTACCTGGTATGAAAAAGTCATTGTGTCCAAAGAATATTAAGGATAAAATTCTGTTTGGGGCTCCATTTTTAATCTTTTGGAGTGACTCGGTGTTGGATGCTATTAAATACCAGATTTATAAAAAGCACTGGGAAAATATGTTGACCTTTTCATTAATTGTGCCATGACTTGGTATCCAAAAATAAGTTTTATCTGTATTCTTTATTTGGTGCTGGGAAATAATAACAAATTTAATCCTTTAATGGATGCTCTTTAAAAAGGAGTCTTGCTGTATCTATATACTGTTAAAGGGAAATTGTATTTGATTATAGTGTGTTGCACAAGACAGTGTCATAGCCGGATTTGATCATGTCCTCAGAGGGAGGTCTCAAAGGTAGTTATCCTCACCATCTTACTGTCTCTGTTGGTCGGGTCTGGGGCCAGTTTCGTGGTAAGTAACTGGAGGACCCTTAGCTCTCCCCTCTGCCTTCCCTGGGCCATGGACAGTGCATGTTCAGAAGCCTCCCAGTTGTTGTTCAGCGACGAAACTGAGTTTACCCCTCTTGCAAGCCACCTGGCCAGGGGTTGGTCCTGCTGCCTTAGTGCCCTCCCAAACCCTTGTCTGTTTTCCTTCACACTTTCTCCTCTGAATTCCGCCTTGACTGTGAAAGCTGGAAAATGGTTGTTTGTGTCTGTTTTAAGTTCTACAGCACTGGCAATCTTACCTGATGTGTGCATCCAAGGTCAATATGACAAAACCAGGTTACAAATGAAAAAGCATGGGCTTCAGGACGGGATTGGCTTCAGTGAAAACAGTGCATCCCTGTGGCCAGTGCCATAGGGATTTGACCAGAGTTGCTCTGGAGAACTTTCAGACATTCCTATTAAGGAACATTGGGGATGGGGTGGCATGGACGGCTCAGCCAGCTCTGGTTCTTGACTTCATGACAATAGAAGGAACACATGTTTGATTTGCTTAAACTAATCCAGCAGTTCTCATGAAGCTTCCTAGAGTTTATATAAACATTTGAGTAACTCAATTTTAGTTAGAACAGGGTTTTCAACCAGTTTTTAGAGGCAGTAAATCACACAGAAGGGGAGTAGCACACCTTTCTACTGAGAAGCTGTTGGTGGATTCAAACTTTCTACCTTTAGTTTGGCAGCGCAGCTCCTTATGACTAGGCCACTAGAGGTCCCTGAAGACTGATAGAGGTCTTAACCATCAAAGAGAAGCCGAGGAAAAGACTTTCTTTAATGTTTTCTCTAATCAAACAGCCTCCTGATGTTGCCAGTTTTCTTTAATCGATGAATATATTATGAGACCACATGGATATAATTCTTTTCTTCACTGTGGCTGTGTACCTCTGTCTTTTAGATATGCCCACTTCCCACCTAGGCTTCATTTTTTTCCCCTTTATTTTTATTTATGGTCTTCCTACTTTGCTTAAAAGGTAATTAAAAGTGAAATGTTAAAAAATAGTTGGACAGAGTTTAAAGTTACTAGAAGCTATGAGATGCTGTCCTCTGTTTCTAAAACCCATTAAATAGATTTCAAGATTTTGAGGCTGCCTTTCCTCTGATGGATTTTGGGATTCCCAAAATGAAACCTAGAAGCAGCTTCTTTACAGGAAAATGCAGTTAGAGGCTGACATTCTGCAGATTAAGCGTGAATGCATCTGGAGCCCGCAGTAGTTCTGCTGCCCAGTAGAACAAGCTGCAGATAGTGCTCCACGCCCTGCTGGTGCAGGACCAGCGGCGACCCCCGCCCCCGCCTTTGTACTGCAGACGCAGTGCTCCCCTCTGCTCTCTGCTACAGGAGCCCCTGGGCCTTTAGAGAAGTCCTGACGCTCAGGGCCCAAGTGTAACTTTGGAAATGCAGGTGTGAGCACAGCTCCAGGTAGGTTTTGTCTCGTGTCAGCTATGCTATGCTGTGTTTTCAGTATTTACAAATTTTTCAAATGCATAAAGGGGGAAATGCTTGGTTTTGGGGGGTTCCCCCCAAGATTAAAAATTAATGAACATTTTGTTAAATCTCTTCTTCCTTTAGACCAAGTCAGTGCCTTGACAGTTTTGAGGAGCTGGAGCTGAAAGTAAATTAAGTGGGTGTTCAGGCACCAAAGTGATGTTTTAATCTAGTTAGCAAGTTAGAATAGACCCCCTCTGCCTCCTGAGACTAGGGGGAGTCACTGAATGGCCAGAGAGTACGTTGCCATATTTCCTCATAAATGCAGATTTCCAGTGATGTTAACATAATTGTCCTCATGGGGAATTTGTTCCAAGAACAGGAGGGGGCACCGCCTGTGTTAAAATCTGGAGCGGTGTGCACCCGGGGTACATCCTCAGCACAGTTGTCAGTCTGCATACGGAGCGTGAAGGAGAGGATAGCATCAGGCTCGGATGAAACACTCCTGAGGGAGCTCCCGTTTGCATGTAGTGAGGTGGAGTTGAGGTGAGGAAGTTACTGATGAAAGTCAAAGACACCAGCCCTCAGAGTGGATCACCCCTCAGCAGAAAGAAAGCCAAGATCCTCACAAATGGACCAGAGAGATGGAAATTGTCAAAGATTGCATTTTACTTGCAACTGCTATCAACAGCCATGGAAACCGCAGACAGAGAACTCAGATGATGCACAATCTTGCCAGTGCTCAGTCATCTTGAGGCCCAAGCTATGGTATCTTCATGATCCGTACTTTTATATGAAACCTTTACAGCGAATAAAGAAGACTACAGACTTGATGCCTCTGAATTGGAGTGCTGGCAAAGAATATACCTCTAGACTGCCATTAATATACAGGTCTGCCCTGGACGAGGTGAAGCCCACGTGCTCCAGAGCAGGGAGGCAGCCATCTCTTAACCTACCCTTTAGACATGTCAGCAGGAAGGACAGTTTAGAAAGAGGGCCAGCAAAAACAAAGAGGAAGACCCTCAACAGAGTGGACCAATACAGTAGCCACGGCAGTGGGCTCAAACATGGCAGCAGTGTAGACGGTGCTTTATTCTGAACTGACTTGGTGGCCCCCGGTCACCATCTCCTGCCACAGCCGCAGAGTGGTAATTTAGAGCCAGGGCCCCTTCCTCAGTGTACGGACAGACAGCTCAGCCATCAGCTTAGGAGTCAAGGGTTCGGCCAGCCCAGGCCCAAGGCATCCCAGTGCTGGCCATTGGTCTCACCCCCTTTTAAAGATTCCGTCTGGCATGGCGGGATACCCATTTGGACTGGACTGGTGGTGGCTCTTAGCTGCGATGTTGACATCAAGGGTCTGGTCACGGCCCCAGTGGCCCTGCCTTGGGGTGCAGAGCTTACGCCCAGCTTCTCCTTGCCCTCGCCCCGATTGCTTCCACCTCATGGGCAGCTTGTCCCCTGTGCTGTCGTTCCCAGAAGACACGAACACTGTCCTGTTCGGTAGAGTGCCACTTTTGAAAGATACAAACTGATTTCTCCATAAACTCCCTGCTTTGAACCCAAGATTGATACAAAGTTAGATTTGGATTCTCACTGCAGGTCCTATTCCCAGTGAAATCCCTCCTGAAGGGCTGGGTACTCTGAGGACGTGGAGGGCTACATTGCCCACTTGGTTCTGTAAAGCAGTGGCCCGACAGCTGTGGCCCCTGAGAAACTGTGGTGGTTTGGCCCAGAGCTAGAGCCCTGAACCTCCTACCCCAAGGGCCCCGTTTCTGGGCGCTGGGCAAGTCCAGGGCAGTAGCATGGTGAGGTTAGCCTATGACGACCACCTTGACCTGAGCCTGTGCTTTCAAATTGCCTGTGTAAGAAAACCTAATGACTGTTTACAAAGAGTCACTTGAAATTGTAAAGTGAATACAGATAGCTGTGTTACATGAATCAGTGTTCAGTTAACCACTGACTTTATACCTTTTGATTCAAAAGAGATAGTCTGTTGTCGAGATTGGGAATAGTGTGGACATCAGCACTCAGTAAGAAAGTCAGTTGACGCTGTTGTGGAACGTGGAGATGATCACACAGTGTGCCCTCTCTCTCCCTCAGTCTCTACTGGCTCCCTTGCTCAGCAGTACGCTCACCCCAGTGCTACCCTGCACCCACATCCTCCACATCCTCAGCCTGCGGCCACGCCCACCGGACAACAGCAAAGCCAGCATGGAGGAAGTCACCCTGCCCCCAGTCCCGTTCAGGTGAGGAGCAAGCTGGGGCCTGCACAGCCCCCCAAGTGTCCTCCCCTCAGGCGCCGTGTGCCACCTTCAGCAGCTTGGTCACACCCGGGATGAAGGGGAGTCTGTCAGTTCAGTGTTGAAGTGTCTGATTTAACATCAAGCAGAAAATAAGAAATTGGGGGAAACTTGTAATGCTGTGGGATGTTCCTCAAATATTTGAGGGGTCTTCACAGTTGCCTCTTTAGTTGTGCTGAAGGTTAACACGCCAGAACGGGCTTGGTCTCATTTGAGCTCTGCCTGCTTGGGGGGTCATAACTGTCAAGGTCCCCTGGGGGCCGCTGCACAGCCCCTCACCCGCCTTTCCTCCGCCTGCCGTGCCTCGGCGTGGCCCTCAGTTCCTCGGTCACTTTGCAGCACCATCAGCACCAGGCCGCCCAGGCGCTCCACCTGGCCAATCCGCAGCAGCAGTCGGCCATCTACCATGCGGGGCTCGCGCCAACCCCTCCCTCCATGACGCCCGCCTCCAACACGCAGTCACCACAGAACGGTTTCCCAGCTGCACAGCAGACCGTGTTCACCATCCATCCTTCGCACGTCCAGCCGGCCTACACCAACCCGCCCCACATGGCTCACGTCCCGCAGGTAAAGCAGCCGGAACCTGCTGTTGCTGGCCACAGTTGAGGCCATTTAGGAGCTGAAGGTTGTGAGCGCCCTCTAGCGAGAAAACCCAGTATGTGATGCTGTCCCCCTCCCTGTGCAAATACATGTGCTGCCCTCAGTGACCGTCTGTGTGGTTTGTGGTGGAGTCAGTGGGGCCGCTGACCGGTCAGCCCTTGAACATTTACCCATGGAGCCCTTTGACTCTGGAATGCAGCCCGGTCACCTCTCCCTCCTGTGTCTGCTTCGCTCTGTGTATACAGCCTCCTTGCTACACACACACACACACACACACGTATGTGCACACCTGCACACACATGCCTGGCAGGGCAGCTGGCCCCCCTCCCCGTCAGTCTCAGGGACAGAGAGGCATCTTCTCCCTGGCTTGTAGATGGACTGTGGTGGCCTGGGCTGGACCTGATGGGGTGTGGCCTTTGCATTGGTGCTGTGAGCACCAGGTGTTCTGTTCTGCACCCCTGTCCTTTAGTGGTCTGGCAGCACTGTGGCAAGTCCCTGGTGTCAGCTCTGAGGGTGACAGGGCTGTGTGTCTCAGTGAGGGCGCTATCACTGCTGACGAGGGCCTCCAGAGGAGCCGCCTGAAGCTGGCTTCTGCTGGCCTTTGGCCCTGGCCAGGCTGTTAGGGGTGAGCTGGCTGGCTAACAGGTTGTTAACATGTTGATGGAATATGCCATGGTAGGTCTGGCCCTGTGTGTTGTCAGGGATGTGCTGGTTCACTGAGGAGTGGCCTGCCTTGTCCCCTTAGGGCCAGTTTCCCAAGTCTGGGCAGCCTCTTGCAGTGTGGAGGTTCTGTCGTCTGGGGTGCACTGCCGTTGGCGATGTGAGGAGCTGGTGTGGTTAGACATGTGCCCACCTGGTGTGGGAATTGGAGCTTCCCAGATGGCTTGCGGAGGCTGGTGGCTACATGTGGATGTGCAGAGAAGGTGGAGTCCCTGCGACTTCCCTGTTGTGTTTTTGTGCTCAAAGAACACAAAAGGTTACCCCTTCCAGAAGCCCAGCACGCCGTACACCTGTGTGACTGGCCGAGCAAGGCCTGGCCCGGTGCCCAGTGTGGGAGGTAGGAAGCCAGGCTTGTCCCCAGCCCATCCGTGGGGCAGCCATGCGGAATGCCCTTCACTGTCACTGGTCAGGGATCCTGGACTGCTTGGATGGTCATTTCTGGTCACCTCTCCCACATATCCTCCTCTTCCGTCAGCCCACCTTCCGAAAATGGAAGGGGCCCACACCTCTTCCCACCGACACTCTCTGGGGGGCTGTGCATTTCAGCCCTGCTTTTCCCATGCTCACCTGCGTTGCCCCTGAGGGGTCACCTGTCCATGCAAGCCGGGCTCTGAATGATCAGGGCCCGTTGGCTCACTGTCAGCTGAGATGGACGTGCTCGGCACACAGGTCTGTAGGACCCGCCCCGTCTCTAGAGCACAGGTCAGGGACTGCGCTGGCTGGTTAGGCCGTGGCCCCTGTGCCCCCAGTCTGCAGGCTTGACGAGAGGGTGAAGTGATGTTCCAGGGAGGCCCGCTGCTGCCCTCTCCCGCGAGGCCCGGTCCAGAGGAGGGACGGGTGACGTGTGAGCGGAGATGTTGCCTGTATGCGTAAAAGAGCTCTCTGTTTCAGGCTCATGTACAGTCAGGAATGGTTCCTTCTCATCCAACTGCCCATGCGCCAATGATGCTAATGACGACACAGCCACCTGGCGGTCCCCAGGCCGCCCTCGCTCAAAGTGCACTACAGCCCATTCCAGTCTCGACACCAGCGCATTTCCCCTATATGACGCACCCTTCAGGTGAGGCGTGTGTGCAGGGCGCCGGGCACCACAGGGCGAGGGCAGGCAGGGCAGCGCCTCCCCCGCGTCCCGGTAGGAGACCCGCCTAGGACGCACAGCAGGGACGAGGGGCCGTGGTGGTCAGCGTGGCTGTGTGTTGTGGACAGGGTGTGGCTCGTTGAGCAGCAGCCGGGTGGCTGGCACAGGCCGCAGCGCCGTGGCTCATTGGTTAGGACGGGCTGGATGGGGCAATGCGTGTCCCAAGGCCTGGCGGTCTGCTACGTGGGGGGTGTCACCAGGGCGGAATCTGAGCTGCGCGCAGTGCCCAGTGCTGTGTGGTTGGTTGGTGGTTCGAGAGCAGAGGCCGCTTGTGCCCGGCCGAGCGGGGCCGTGGCTGCTCGTACCTGCTGGCCGCTGGGCCAGTGCTTGGCCAGCGTCTGGGAGGGGGAGCGTTAAGGCCTGCCCCCCGATGGGGAGCAGGTCTCGTGGGAGTCTGGTTCTCGTCTGCCTGGTTTGTTTCCCCCCCTTCCCCTCCCCGGGCGGGCCAGCACCAGGACGGCGCACGGTGGACGGTCTGAGCTGCGGGCCAGCGTTGTCTCAATGTCCAATCTTCTCTCTTACAGTACAAGCCCACCACCAACAGCAGTTGTAAGGCCGCCCTGGAGGAAACGAAAGGCCAAATCCCCTCTTCCCTTCTCCTGCTTCTGCCAGCTGGAAGCACAGAAAACTAGAATTTTGTTTATTTTGTTTTTAAAAAAGTATATGTTGATTTCTTGTAACATCCAATAGGAATGCTAACAGTCCCCTTGCGTGGAAGACGTCTGGAGCAAATAGTGGCACTTAGGGACTTGTGGGCCGTCCCATAATTCCATGCGCTGTCCAACCCGCAGGTACCCCAGCTCTGCTTGCCGAAACTGGAAGTTATTTATTTTTAATCACCCTCCGAAAGTCACCAACACATCAGCTAGCAAAAGAAGTGACAAGAGCGATTCTTGCTGCTATTCCCGCTAAATACAAACAAACAAATCAAGACTTGGAACGCCCTTTTATTAAACTTGACAGAAGTTCAGTCAATTCTTACCATCAGAGCAATGGATTATTATTTATAAATCAAGTCTGATGAGGTGATCACTGCCTCCAGTGGTCCAACTTTTAAGTTAAGGGAAAAACTTTTACTTTGTAGATAATATAAAATAAAAACTAAAAAAAAAAATTAAAAAATAAAAAAAGTTTAAAAACTGGCCCAGAGCTAGTGTGTGTCTGTGAGAGCCCGGTGCTGTGGCCCTGAGGTCCAGCTGAAAGGCCAGGCCAGTGCGTGCTTCACTCGGTGTCCCCAGGAGGTAGCGTCAGTGACCTTTCTTCTTCACCTTTAGCTGTGGCTCCCGGGGTCTCTAGGAAGAGCCAAGGCTGCAGGAAGACGGCAGCCGGTGCCGGGCCATGCGGAGCCCCCACATCCCAGCCCTGCGCTGACCCCGTAAGCCCCCTGCTGCTACTCTGCACACGTGGTGGTGGTGGTGGTGGGGAGCGGTGTGGGTACAGGTACCTGGGCAGCCACAGGAGGGCAGGGAGAGCACGCCCCCCAGGGGGTGCAGCTGCTGCCTGCTAAAGATCACAGCAACAAAGTGATGTTCTGGAAAACTCTGTTTCTCTTTAATTCACATAGAGCACTTTATACATAACAGCAAAAATTGGCATTCTTCAAGAATAAGTTACTTGTACAGTACATAAACATCAGAATTTGCCAGATACAGTCTGCCTGTAATGGGACCAGATGAATCTACCTGCCGTGTGATTATTACATCATGCTCTCTGGCCTCACGCTGGGCATGAGATGGGCCTTGGGAGGAGGCAGTGGGGCGTCGGAGCCAACATCATCTTGACAAGAGTGAACACAGAAGTGCCTTCATCTTGGCACACCCCACACACACACACCAGGAAGGGGTCAGGAAACTGTCACGTGAAAGGCGTGTTCTCTGGTCCCGGGTTTAATGACTGCTGTTCCTTTTCCCTGCACGGTCCAGAAATGATCAAAGGCAGAAGAAGTGTACAAAGCCGTGGGGACCTCTGTTGTGACTGAAGGCAGGTTAGTTGACTTCATTCTTTGGTGCTGGTGACGGTTAGTGTTACGGGTGGCAGTGCGGGGGGTGTCAAGCTTGGCTTGTTTTGAAGGTGCCCAGGGAACAGGCGGTGCTGGCTCAGTGTCACATCTCCCCAGACTGGGAGCATCCTTGTCAGGATGTGCTGGTAATGAAGACGTTTAGGAAGGAGATCTGTTGTTGGAACATCTCAACTAGCCTGAGGGCCAGAGGGGCTGGTGACTGGGCCTGGCTTGCCTCCAGACACCCGAGAGGTGCGTGCTACGAGCCATTCCCCACAGTCAGACCCACAGCCGGCGAACTCCAGCCTCCCACGCTGCCTTCCTGCCTTGGTTGACACTGGTAGGGTCCGCTTGACACATGGAGCAAAGGGAGGTGTTCGCAATGGCCAGCACGCCTGAGCTGGTCTCACCACTTGCAGAAAAGTGACGTGGAAGTTGGCTGCAAGCCTGCCCCACCCCAAAGCCCGGAGGCCGACTTGAGGATCTGCCCAGGAGGAAGGGCTGGGGGGAGTGCCTGGGAGTCCAGTGCACTGAGGAAGCAGGTGGTCCCTTGGGCTCTTGTCGCCTCCAGCTGCTCACCTGACTTCACCACAAGCTACTGTGACCAGGTCCATTTTCTTCATAAGGCACCGGGCAGAGCTGTCCCTTGCCACCACTCCATTTGAGTTAGTGCCTGAATTCCCTGAAAGGGCGACGGAGCTGCCCGGTAGGAGGCGGTCGGTCGGTCCTGAGGCTGCGGCCGAGCCGGTGGGGTTTGCATAGCTGTCTGACTGCAGGCTAGTCGGATACGTGGTTTCAACAGTGCAGTGAATAAGCTAGTTTTGAAACCTGAATTCTTTAAAAATTTAATCTGAGGTAAAATGTTTAAAATCTTTTTTGTCCTTTAGCTTGTCCCTCTGCCCCAGCGCTGTCCCCATGGAGGACGAGCTGTGGTTGCCTGTGGTGTGGCTATGCAGGGCTTAGTGTTTGGGCTTCCTGGTGACCCCGCCATACAGTGTGTCAGGAGCCTCGCCAGAGGAAGAGCACTGTGGCCGTGGGGCTCGTCCAGCCTTGGTGTGGCCGTGGGCCGCCTCTGGCCTCTGCTGATGGGTCCCAGGCTCTGGGGCCCGCCCTGGAGGGAGGAAAGCTGCTTCCCTTTGCGTCTGGTCCCTGCCTGTCAGAGGGGGGTGTACTGATTGTCGATGGCCCGCAAATGTCTCTGCGAGGATGCATCCAGCTCATAGTCGGCGTCCCCAGCCTGCACGCTGGACCCTGGCTCCAGGAGCCGCAGGCTGTCGGCCAGCTCCTCAGGCGAAGGCACCCGGTGGAAGATCTGCTCCGGGGGCGAGGCCCGGCCAGCAGCCCCCTCGGGGCCCAGTGCCTGTGCACAGGTCGGGGAGCCCAGGTGCAGGAGGCCCGGCTCCGAGTCCCAGCGAGGCAGGGAGAACGGGAAGAGCACGGTGCTGCCCGCACCTGCAGGGCCAGAGAGTGGGCCGGGAGTCAGGTGGGCACCGCCCCCGGCCTGTCCGCTGGCCCCTGGCCCAACCCGCGCCCACCCTGGGCCCACCTGGTGCCTGGGAGACGACCACCACGTAGCTGGACAGGCGGACGTCGCAGGCGGCGCCGCACTCGAGTGGGATGGGCGCGCGCTGGAAGTGGTGCAGCATGTCCAGCACCGAGGGGAAGCGCAGGTGCTGCACGCGGCACTGGCCACGCTCGCTCAGAGACAGGCGCAGGTGCTGCGGGGACACGCGCATCAGCCGGGCCCCGCCGTCCCCCGCCCCAGGTGCCCGCGGCCGTACCTTGGCGACGCCCTGGCAGTTGAAGGTGAGCACGTACTCGCCGCGCCGCGTCTCACTCCGGCGCACCAGGAACACGCCGTGCGCCGCTGCGCCCCGCACCTGCACCAGCTGCGCCGCCCGCACGCGCGACACCGGCCCGTGGAACCAGGGGTAGCAGGCCAGGAAGCGGTCGGTCTTTGGGCAGGCCGGCTCCAGGGGGACCCCCAGGGATGCACCTGCAGAGGAGGGGGTGCTGGTGCCAGGGAATGCCCCGGTAAGAGGGGTCTGTGCCCTGGACAGTTGTGGAGATGGAGCCCCACACTCACCTGGGCTCAGAGAGTCTGTGCTGCCCCCTGGGGAGCTGGACCCGCCCACCTCCAGGGCTGAAGGCTCATCACTGGCCTGCCTGCGAGGAGAAGTGGGATGAGGAGGTGCGGGGTGCGGGGTGGGGGTGGGGTGGTGGGGGCGCACCTCACCCTTGGCCCGTGCAGTC